TGTAGATATGTAATAAAACATTAATTTCAGTTTTGTGCTTTTCCTATTTTGAAGCCAATGAACGTTCTTGGTAAATTTCATTGAAATGTATCATACTTGTAGAAAATATGCAAATCTTAAGTGTACAGCTCCATGAATGCTCTGAACGTGAGCACACCTTTGTAACTGCTGGAGAAACAGCTCATCAGGAGTCCCCAGAAGCCCCCAGGCCCCCTTCCACTCGCTGCCCCCCACCCCAGGGCAGCCGCTATCCTGACTGCTAACACCATAGATTAGTTTTGCCTGTATTAGAATGTGTTATACGTGCAATCATAGAGTTCATACTCATTTTGTGTCTGGCTGAATTCATGGAACTGATCAACTTTTCCATTCAGGTCTCAGATATCTTCAGAGGCCTGTGAAAAGCTCATAGGCTCTAGGTACCGTCGAAACCAGGGTTTCTCAACCTTGCCTTCACTCTAGAATCTCTAGGGGAAATTTTAAAACACCTGATGCCCAGGCTGCACCCCAGAACAATGAAATCAGAATCCCTGGAGACAGGACCAGGCATCAGTGGTTTTTCTTGCTCCCCAGGTAACTTTGATTACGACCAAGGATGAAAAGCACTTGTCTAGGCAATTCTGTAAAGTATTAGTATCCCAATTTTACAGCTGGGGAAACTAAAGCTCCAGGTCTTTCCACCATATGCAACTGTCATGAAGCCGGAGCTCCAATTCGGGTCTGACTTGGGGGGCTCTTTGTATTGCCTTCACCCATGGTGAACAGTAAAGCCAAAACCAGGCGTGGGTGCCTCCTGCCAGACCCCTCGACAACTGTAAGTCCTTCCAGAGCTATGGAGAAGGGAGGTCGGGTTTCCCAGGCTGCAAGACCCCCAGGAGAAAGGCAGCACCCCGGTGGCTGGCCATAGGGAGAAAGAGTCACCACAGACTGGACTCCATCTTTGCCCCGCGCCACTCTAGACGTCCCAGAAAAGTCCTTGCAGGTGGGAGCAGCTGCTTGTTTGGGGGTCGCGGAGAAGTTTCCCAGCCGCTGAGATGCTCTGGCCCGATCTGCTTTGATTTGGGGGTGCAGTGCAAGACGCCACCACTCGGTGGCACCATGAGCTTCTGTAAACCCTGTCGTTTTCACACACACACCCCTGCCTTTGGCCAAAGGAAGCCAGAAAGCAGAGTCAGGGGACAGTGATGGGGGAGCAGCAGCCCAGAGCTGCCTGAGAGTTCCTCTGCTCCTGGGGCCTGATGGGGCCTGTCTCTGGCTGGCAAGGAGGTTGCAGGGATATGGCTGCCACTTCCCCCATATCTGAGCCAGCAGAGGAAAGCCAGGCAGAGAAGCCACGCCTCAGCCGGCTTCTCGCCTCACTGCCCTTCACCAAGCTGCCCCTGTGGGCCCCGCACGCCCATGAGGAGCCCAACCACCCACACTCCCGTGATGCCCTGGGCTTGAAGGTACCAGACATCCCTTGGAGCCGAGGCACACCTCCAAGTCCTTCCCTGGGTTATTGCCAAATCCTCACCCTAGGATGGCTGAGAGGGTCTCTGAAGCTGGTATAGTCTTCCCCACAGTTTGGAATCAGACTATCTGGATTCAAAGCCAAGCTCTGCCACTTTCTAGTTGTATAGTTTTGGGCAAGTTACTTAACTTCTGTGAGCCTCAGTCTTTTCATCTGTAAAGTGGGAGTAATAGTCCACACCACAGAGGGTAGTTGTGAGGATTGAATGATGAATTATGTAGAGTCTTAGCCTAGTGCCTGGCACATAGTCAGTGCTAAATAAATGTTAGCTACTATTGTTTGTTTATTATTACTAATAATAATAATGTTGCAAACAGGACAGACAAAATGAACCTACCCGCATGTTAAAGAACAGCCTCCATTGTGACAACCCACCCACACCCCAGGTTTCAGCAGAGTCAGCAAGTCCAGCTGCCCCTTAGGAGCAGAAAGTACAAGCAGGGAAGAAACGCAGGGTCCTGTTCAGAGAGGGCCCCCCCAGACCCCCACCCACAGGTGGAGCCATTGTCCCCACGGTCTGGTGGGATCCTCTCTTGTCCCACAGGCCTGAATGTGTGACCCCGGCCATCCCACAGCCTCGGGCAACTTCCATTTGGGTGTCATCCCCAAAGTGTCAGAGTGAGCACTGGGTCAGGAAACAACCTTGGTTCTAAACCTGGCACTATCATCAACCAGCTGTGTGACCTAAGTCAAGTCACTCACCCTCTCTGGGCATCCATTCTGTCTCACTTAGATGATCTTTAAATGTCCTCGCACATCTGTGCCACATGGTTTTAGCAAAGTATCTGGCACACAGTAGGTGCTCATTAAATGTTATTTAGTTTTATAAAAGCCAAGACACAGGGCTCCCCTCGTGGCGCAGTGGTTGAGAGTCCACCTGCCGATGCAGGGGACACGGGTTCGTGCCCCGGTCCGGGAGGATCCCACATGCCACGGAGCGGCTAGGCCCGTGAGCCATGGCCGCTGAGCCTGCGCAACCGGAGCCTAAGCCAAGACACAACTCTACTAGGTTCCAACACCCACATACTTTTCTTTAGAACTGAGTGACCTGTGTGATCCAACCCCGAACAGATATGAGCTCAAGAAATGGGTATTTATCTAATTAATCCATGACTTGATTTTTTTTTTTTGGCGGTACACGGGCCTCTCACTGTTGTGGCCTCTCCCGTTGTGGAGCACAGGCTCCGGACGCGCAGGCTCAGCAGCCGTGGCTCACAGGCCCAGCTGCTCCGCGGTGGCATGTGGGATCCTCCCTGACCGGGGCACGAATCTGTGTCCCCTGCATCGACAGGCGGACTCTCAACCACTGAGCCACCAGGGAAGCCCCATGACTTGATTTTGACCTGGCTTTCAGTCTAACCTGTTCCCCCCACCTAAGGATCCCAGGGCCGCATAAAGGCTCCAGATTAGGGATGCGGAGTGTCTGCTTCTCACTAGACTGCAAGCTCCAAGAAGACAGGGCCCGTCCTGCCCGTGTCAGGGCACTGCCTCTTCAGGAGCACACTCAGCCCTGCCTCCTCGCCATGGTCCTGGGGCACAGATCTGGCCTCCCACCAACATGGGGGAGAAAAGCAGCACAGAGCCTCAAGCTAGGCAAGGCCTTTTATTGGAAAAAGAAATAATAAAGCAAAAGGCCACCACATACGCCCAGCCCTCCCACAGGAGACGCACAGGTCAGCCCCAGCCATACGGTGGGCCAGGGTGGGTATAGGGGTAGGGGCTGTGCTGGAGCCCACTGGGCTGCAAGCTCACCCGGGGCATCCCTGGACCGGGACCCACTTAGGCTCAGGGGCTGGGCTGCCCTCTCCAGCTCTCTGGAACTTTCCTACACACTGCTCCTGCATCCAAAAGAAAATCAGGCCCCTCTTTGGTTCCAGAAAGCTACCTGGCTAGCTGGTCTTTCATATCCACTCTAGCACCTCTTGCCGGCTGAGGCAGGCAGTCTCCTTCTGTCCATCTTCAGGCACCAGGATGGGATTGCTGGGTGTCGGAAGCCAGGGCCTCATTGGCTGGACACCCCTCTTTCCTTTCAAGAGAGGAATTTGCCTTTTCCCCTGCGGGTTAGCAGCTCCTTTGACCTTCCAAAGAAGCCTCACTTACACAGCCTTAGAGAGCCCCGGAGACTGGGCGGGCTGAATATGCAGTGTCCATGGCCCCGTTGCCTTGTCATGAGGGACTGAGAGGGGGGCACGGAAGGCCCTGGAAGGTTGGCTCTGTTCTCCTAGAACCCCATCTTCTTTTTTTGTTAGAATGTACACAGTACAGTGAGAAGGTGGGGAGAACCTTGCAGGTAGGGGACAGGCCAGGAAGAAGAGCCCAGCTGGCAGCCCAGGCAAGAGGCAAGGGACATGAGGACATTTATTTACAGGGGGACAGGCTGGACCCACACAGAGAAGCAGCCAGACCGTGGCACACGAAGATAAGACAGGATGCAGAGAGGGCCAGTCATTGGCCCAGCAGCCAAGGGGAATGTACAAGTGCACTCACATACATGCACACACGCATGTGTACACGCACTCACTCAAGTGCACTCACCATGCACTCATGCACACACCTGCCCTCACACACAGTACACACAGGTGCATTCACGCACATAGTGCACTCACATATGTGCACTTACACATGTGCCTGCGTGCACACACACTCATTCTCACACACTTGCAGGTTCTAATCTCAGGAAGTTGGCTCCAGTTCTGGTGGTTAAACACCCCAAGGCTACATCTCTCCATGAGGCATTTCTCCAGACTCCCATATAACCTCCCAGAGCCCCAGGCCATGTGCCCCACCACCAGCACCTGGTGGCCTGCAAAATCGCAGGACTTGGACGCTTCTTGGCAAGGCTAAGATGACCTCCAGGCTCTGGGTGGAGGACAGGGACACCATGAGTCTAGAAGAGGTCAGGAGGGGGCTGAAGAGCTCCCCACCGCAGCGCCCACAGGCTGACCACTCCTGTCTCCCCAGACCTTGAATTCGGTGGAGGCAGACAGGCACACAGACAGGCAGAGGCCCCGTGGTGGCATCAGAAAAAGCAGACACTGGGAGATGGCCATGGGGAGCAGGGTCCCGAGGGAGGGAGTCCTGGTGGATGCGGGATTTGGGGTGAGGAATCGTGCAGGATGGGAATTCTCTACGTGACAGACCTGGATCGTCTTCTGGGGTGTTGGGAGGGGAGCTGCAGAAGAGAGGGGCTGTCCAAATTGTGTTGTCCTCACCCCAGCCTCCCCCTGGAAAACCTGCCTCTGTGTGACCCAGACCAGCCCCATCGGGTAAGAGCCAGGTCAGGAAGTGGACCGTCCTGCCAGGGGGCGAGGGGCAGGAGGCGCCGTTGATGGCCCGCAGGCAACACTGGGCGGGTCACCGCCCTCCTGCCCTGGGCAGCAGGGTGGGCCCAGAGAACGACTCAGAAGCGGGTGCTCTGGTAGCGTAGCCGCCGCAGGTCTGCAGAGCCCTCAGTCCAGTCGTACACCTCCCTGCAGGGACTCTCGGCCAGTCACCGGCCACCCGCCCCGCCGCTGCTGCTGCCGCTGCCACTGCTACTGCCACTGCTGGAGCTGCCACTGCTGCACCGGTCCTCGTAGATGGAGATCTCGATCTGGGGCGGCGTTAAGGAGGGATGCAAGCGGACAGGGACTGGCTGATGGAGGCCAGCAGGGAAGCGGGAGGCAGAGCTGGTGCTGGTTCCCAGACAGGAAGGACTCAGAGGCCCGGGGAGCCAGACCTGAGCCCCTCGTACCTGCGCTCACTCAGCTCAGATGCTCCTGCCCACAGCCAAGACCAGGAGCTTACATTCTAGTGCGTCTAATCGCTGTGTCCCAGGATGCGGATGTGGCCAAGAGGGGGTGGTACTGCACAGGAAGTGTGAGGACTTGGGTGTCCTGAGTTCAGATCTCAGCTCACCCATCTCATCTGTAAAATGGGGATAATAATAGAATCTTGGGGTTACTGCAAGGATTAAATGAAATAAAGCATGTAGTGCACAATGCCTGGCACATAGTAAAGTCGCAAAGACGAGAAGAGCCTCTCCCTGGGCTTTGTAAGCGTGAGATTCTGGGATTTGCGTCTTCTTTACTCTTTTCCTGTCAGTTTTCCAGTAAAAGTTATTTTTAAACAATTCTACCCTCCGCTGCTGACTGGGGGGCAGGATGTATGTACACCTTGACCAGGTGGAGTGAGCAGACCTATAACCCTCTCGAACGCCAGCCTCCCACCGAGACCTCACTTTTCTCATCTGCGCAAGGGCAACAGCAGGACCTGCTCATTGAACGGGCTTCAATGAGGGACACATGCGAGAGCACTGAAGAGTGGGCCTGAGCTCAGATCCTGGCTCTGGCGGTCACCAGCTGGGCGGCCCTGAGCCAGGGTCAGCTACACAGGCAGTAAGAAGAGTTAGCCACTTTATAGGGGTCTTATGAGAAGTACATGGATTCATATCTTCAAAGCACTTACTATGATATCTGGCATGTATTAAGCACTGATTAAATGCAGCTGAATAAAAGCGAAGCCTAAAATGCACAAACAGCACTAACTTGGGGTGGAGGCAAGAGCCGATGACCAGGGGTGTGGGGAACCCTAGGAACTCCCTGAACAGAGGCCCCGAAGGTGGTCCCATCTCCCAGCAGCCTCACCAGGGGCCCACTGGCCGGCAGCTCTGTGCCCTCGCACGGAACAGCTGGAAAGGATACAACCCTCATCCCGCGCTCCACAGGGTCTGTGAGCAAGAGACCTCGGGGGGCAAAGACCTTCTCGTTTTGCTCCTGGATGTATCGGGAGATCTTCTTGAGGACCTGCAAGGACAGGGACCAGTTGAGGATGAGGGTGGAGCACAGGAGCCCTGGGGGAAGGGATGCGGGGCTGTGGGGGAAGGAACCACCTTCTCATAGTGGGTCTCCATGCAGAGGAAGATGAAGTAGGCCGTGGCACAGGCCAGGCAGCCCTCGAGGTAGGAGCTGCCCCCAATCTTCTCCGCCTCTGCATAGAAGCTGTTGAGGGTCTTCACAGTCTCCTCAAAGAGCTGCCGCTCGATCTGGAGGGAGAGAGGGACAGGGAGCCAGGCCCAGGTCAGCATCCCTGGAGGTGGCAGTGGTGGGCCCGCACCAGCACTGGGGTTGGTGGCACACAGGCAAGACCGGCAAGGCTGCAGGCGCGCATGGAGCGCCACACAGGGAGTCAGGAGACCTGGGGTCCAGTCCAGACTTGGCCATCAGCTAGGTGTGTGACCTTGGACTGATGACTTAACCACTCTCGCCTCAGTTTCCACATCTGTAAAATGGGAGTAAGAATGACTACTTGACCTCCCTTGGAAACAGAAAACTCCCATGAAATCCAAGATGTGATCATTTTCTGCAGCGGATCAGGAAGGAATTCCAGTGACTTTGCCACACACACACACACACACACACACACACACACACACACACACACATACACCATTGTGATGGCTGTGAGAGGGCTCAGGACCTGATTAGTAGGGGCTCTCCACGTTTGGAGAGCATGAGACTGATTGGGTAAGACCTCAGGAGTGTCTTTCCAGGAGGAGGCACTTCCTCCCAGTTAAGAGGTCACCCAGGGGACTTTCCTCTTGGTGCAGTGGTTGAGAATCCACCTGCCAATGCAGGGGACACGGGTTCGAGCCCTGGTCCGGGAAGATCCCACATGCCACGGAGCAACTGAGCCCGTGAACCACAACTACTGAGCGGGCGCTCTAGAACCCGCGAGCCACAACTACTGAGCCCGTGTGCCAGAACTATTGAAGCCCTCCCGCCTAGAGCCTATGCTCCGCAACAAGAGAAGCCACCACAGTGAGAAGCCCGGGCACCACAATGAAGAGTAGCCCCTGCTCGCTGCAACCAGAGAAAGCCCACACGCATCAACAAAGACCCAACGCAACCAAAAATTAATTAATTAATTACTTAAAGAAAAAAACAGGTCTCCCAGAACAGGACAGCCCCATGCATTTGGACAACTGAGAAGCTATCCTGCCTGCATCCATAACCATAATAGCTAATATTTATTAGGCACGTTCTATGTGCCGGGCACTTTTTATGTATTCTTTCATTTAACCCTCATAACAATCCTATCAGAGAAGTATGACTCCCACCCCCATTTTACAGGGGAAGCCTGATGGAAGCTCTGCTCTGTGGTCCAGACCACTATCATCTCTGACCTCTTTAAGTGGTCTCCCTGCCCCCAGCCCTGCCAAGGGAGACTGTTAAAGTCAGATCATGTCATAACTCTGATCAAGAGCTTCCCAAGTCTCCCCATCTCTCTCCAAGTAAAATCCAAGGAGTCCTTACATGCCTGTGAGGCCCTCCAGGGCCCGGCCCTGCATGCAACTCCTCTGATCCCATCTCCTGTTCTCTTGACTCCAGCCACACCGACTGCCCACTGCTTCCTGAAAATGCCACAGGTCCTTTGGGCCTGTGTCCTCAGCTGCAGTGCTTTTCCCCGGACACCCCCTGCCCTGGCTCTTCCCTTACTTCCACTTAGGTCTTGCCTTATCTGACAGCACCCCGCATCCTCTGCCCAGCTCCCCCTGTGTACTTGACCTCCTCTCTTATATTTCCAGTATTTGTTACCACCTACATATTTTCTTGTTGCTTTTTAAATTTTTTTGTATCCTCTAACAGAAAATAAGGTCCATGTGTTCACTCCTACATCTCCAGTGCCCAATACATTGTAGTCACCTAATAAATACTTGCTGAATGCTGCGTGAACTTGGCCAAGTTTACACGGCTCTGACCCGAGTCTGTGCCCTTCACCATGCAGCCCTCCACTGGAGCCTGGAGTGGAAGGTCATGCTCCAAACTCAGTAGGTATCAGAGTGTCTCTCATCCCATTTTTTACATTCTTTAAGCACTCCCTCCCCCACTCACCCGCACAGGACCAGAACTGCCCATCACATAAGATTAGGGACCTCCCATTCCTGTCTAGGACAAAAGCTCTCCCCGCAAATAGTCAGAAGCTTTGGGGTTCCCAGCCACTACTTCTATAAAGATCTGGAGTGAACATATAGAGAAAATTATGTCCATCCTGTCTGGGACCCAAGCCCTGCTGCTGTATCTCAGGGATCACCCCCACCCCAAAGGACAGGCATGCTAAGATGAGGAGATCTACATGGCTCCCCAAAAGCTGTTTAGGGGCCAGATCAGCAAAGGCCACCCCTGCCCCACCCTCCCAAACTCATTCAAATCTGCCTGGGCTGCTGAATGAAAGGTCATGGTCCTTCCTCTGCCCTCCCCCAACCCCAGGCCAGTTCTAAGGGGCCTGGGGTGAGGGCTACATACACCCAGGACCAGGAGAAGAACTCAGCAGAAGAAGCTGATGCCTTGCAAGGGGCCAGTGGTCCATGAAACAACCAAGTAGCTGAGTTGGAGCGGGAGGCTGTGGGCAGAGCCCTTGGATGACGGCCTCTGATGCCACCAGCAGACCCTGTGATGGAGCATCAGGCTCTCCCCTCTGTCCGAGGTGGGGAGAAGGAGGGGAAAGCACCGTCCAGCCCTTCCGCCAGGTCTCTAAGCTTTCCCTGCCAAGACTCTGATCACCCAGGCACCCAGTTTTATCTATACCCACTAAGGAAACAGGAGTCCTGTGAAAAAGCAGAGAGTCGGACGCCAAGGCCCTTTCGGCCCTCAGTCAGTTTGGCACGTCACTTCCTCTCCCTGGCCCTGAGTTTCCTCTCTTAAATGAGAGGATGAACTAATGCAATGCTTCTCAAACATTTATGCGCATATGAATAACTTCAGGATCTGGTTAAAATGCAAATTCTGAGTCAGTAGATCCAGGGTGGAGCCTGAGATTCTGTGTTTCCAGGGGACGTTGACATTGCCTGTCCACAGACCACGGTTTTGGTTCAAGGGCTTAGTTGTTCTCAATTGTGGTACACACTAAAATCACCTGAGCAGCTTTTGAAACATAAGCATACTCAGGTCTCGCCTCCAGGAGATTCTGATTCAAATGGTCTGAGAAGCGAGAGAGTGGGTCCGAGCAGCAAGGACTACCACTGTCCTATTCTACCCAAGCTGACGCCCTGCAAGGTTTCCTCAAAAGCTCCCAGGTGATTCTAACAGGCAGCCCAGCATGAGAATCACTGTACTAGGAGACCAGAGATTCTCAAAGAGGGATCTGTGAATCACCCAGTTCCACATCACCCAGGGATTCCTCATTAAAAATTAAGATCCTCAGCCCCGGACGCACAGTGGAACCACCCAGGGAAATTTAAAGCAATGCTGATGCCTGGGCCCCAGTCCCAGACACTCTGACTTAATTGATCTTGGGTGTGGTCTGGGCATTGGGATTTTTTTAAGCTCCCCAGGAAATTCTAATGTGCAGCTGGGGTTGAGAAGTGTTTCTAAAAAGAGATTCCTGAACCCAGTCCTGCAACTGAGTCAGCATCTCTGATGACACCTAGTATCATCCAATAAGCAAATTCCAATAAGATGCAGGAATTTGCATTTGTTTGACAAGCTCTCTAGGTGATTCTCTGAAATTTGAGAGTCACTGAACTAGAAAATCTCTGAGGCAGTTCAGCTCTAACTTTCTAGAAGGTGACAGCAAGACAGTGTTAAGGACATTATTTACTACTCCCACTTGAAGTGGCTGAGCAAGTTGTTTCCTATACTATTTTTTTCTTGGAAAAATATACGTATTCTAATAAGCCCCTCAGTTCCATCATAGTCTATGATCCAACTTTAGGAAAAGACATCCTTACCCGGCTGTCCAGCTCTGGGGGGAATTTGGTCTGGAACTGACAGATGGTCCCATCGCTGTAGTCTCTCTGGATAAAGACCTTGGTGGCCAGTGAGGCACTTCGCCGGAGCTCCTGCAGATTGTGGACCTGGGGAGACGTTCAGGAGACACGCACTCAAGGTGATCATCCTTCTAGGTTTGTCCAAGACTGAGGGGTTTATTGGGGTGTGGGCCTTTCATTGCTAAAATCAGGAAAGTTCCCAGCAAACCAGGACAACCTGTCCACCCCACAAATGTTCAAGGAAGGTTGCGGGAAGCAGGCTTGTTGGGTTTACTCCAGAAGATGCCTCTAGCTATCCCAGAAAGATCTAGAAAAATCCTTAAGCAGAGCCAAAGCTGAGTCAAAGTGAGAGTTTCTGGAACCACCAACAGAGCAGGAACAAATTTTAACGAGAGGAAAACACTTCCTGGTGGCTAGCCCAGATCCTCTCTCTCTCTCTCTCTCTCTCTCTCTCTCTCTCTCTCTCACACACACACACACACACACACACACACACACGCATGCATGGTGGGGTCTTTCACTCTTTCATCATTCAGCAAGTATCAAATGTTCACAGCTTGTCAGGCTGTGGCTTGGGGACCCCAGCACTGAACAAGACTGATGCCTCAGACCCATCCCACCTAGTAGAGCTGACAGGGTTGGGGGAGCGGAGCTTGTGGGGCAAAGGAAGATGTGATGCACCCATGAACTCAGAGGGCGACTGGGATTCAGGCCAGGTTATGGCTTAAGTCAGAGACACCACAGATTGTTTCCACGTCCAGCACGTCTCATCACAGGAAAGAAGGGGCCCACAGACATCCAAATTTCCCAGAGAAAATTGTGGATAAAGTGGGCTGAGGCCAGAAAATGAAGAAATCTCCTGCCCTTGTAGGAAGGAGTGGGGTGACTTCTGTCCCTTGTCCACACCTGCAAACTTGACATGGACACAGACTCTAGCATTTCAGAGAAGTGGGCTCAATTCCACGGAAGAACTGGGCCTCTTTCTTCCACTTCCAGCCTCCATCACCCACATCTGAGACAAGCTTCCCACTGGGGGAAATATTCCAGACATTGGAACCACGTGGAGCCCAAGCCCCAAAGGCAGAGTGAACACAGCCAGTTCATCCTGTGTAATTAAGGTGAATCCATTCAGTCACTCAGCTTTCATTTATTGAGTCCCTACTATTGCCAGGCTCTGAGGATGCTGAGCAAAAGACAGTCTGTGAGCTCCAGGGAGGAAGACAAGTAAATATACAATGAATCAGACTGATAAATGCTGCTGAGAAGTAGCATCTCCCCCAGAAACGCTTACTCAGAAAAGGCTCCCTGAAGTCTGTGTGGAGTCATAAAGGAGCTACCAGCCGTGGGGGGTGGGCGGGGA